GATTAATCCACAAACAAAATTTGTATGGTTCTAACTATAATAAGTTGAAAATTTTTCCGTTCTTTTGTGTTTTTGAACTTATAATTTCACTCTACTGCTAGGATTTCGTGAAAGAAGTGCTTGAGACCATTGAACTTGATAGAATCAAAGATAATTTGGTAGGCATCCCAGGGGTCAGCGGTTTGTCAACAGAGCAGCGCAAGCGGCTAACAATTGCTGTGGAGCTGGTTGCTAACCCATCCATTATTTTCCTAGATGAACCTACGACAGGATTAGATGCAAGAGCAGCTGCTATTGTCATGCGGGCTGTAAAGAATGTGGCTGATACAGGGAGAACAATTGTTTGCACTATCCACCAACCAAGTATTGACATCTTTGAAGCATTTGACGAGGTAAGTAACAAGCAGGGAAGCACATAAATGGGGTTTTGCACTTTTGTGGTTAATCATCTGCTCATCAATGTGCAAAACTAAGAATGGAGTAAAGATATTTTACATAGTAAGACCGTAGCTGCTCAAGTGCCATTTGCTGTTCTCTTGGCTTGGTAGTCAGAAGACGAGAAATTTCATGTCAGTGGTGAAGTTACTGAGCCATAATGACTGAAAATAGGATGTTGATTGTGAACATATGGCTTTTAAGATCCTAGCACAAAGTAATATCGTGGCTAATAAATAGTCTAAAAGTTAAATGACCTGCAATAGGAATTACGAATTATTAGGTCGCTTCTGCTTAACTATGAACACTTTTCTGGTTTGGTACTTTCTGTATATTTTTCGGTCATTACAATTGAAACACATCATCATGATCAGATGCTCTTGACAAATTATCCTAAGAGCCGCCAAGGAAACAAAATTTCCTACTTTACAGTTGAAATGCTTCATTACTACCATCAGTGACCAACATGAATTTGCATTTCTTTCATATTCATTGATGAGCACAACCATGAAGATCTCTTTTAGAAATCAATATCTTAAAAACAAGGATAAATAGTTTACATCTAAGTATCTTCATATGCTAGCGAAATCTTAGCTTTTCTAAATAATTTAAGATGCTTCATCATAAAACTAGTTTCCTACAGTCGATTTTTTTTGGAAGCATTTTCATGTATGTGATTTGAGATGTAAAGAGGTCGGTAGCATTCTTATCTTAATTTTCCGTCAACTTGCAGTTAATTCTTCTGAAATCTGGGGGACGCATGATCTATTATGGACCTCTAGGTTGGAATTCTTGTAAAGTTATTGAATACTTTGAGGTCAGTTTTCAAATGTTGAAGTTGCTGTTATACAAATTTTATTTTTGCAAAATGTAATTTTCCTTTCGAGCTTGTAAAGCTATTACTTCTGTTACCTTAACCATGTAACAGGGTATCCCAGGCGTGCCAAAAATAAGAGATAATTATAATCCGGCTACATGGGTTTTGGAGGTCACTTCTACATCATCAGAAGCTGAACTTGGTGTAGACTTTGCTGAGATATACCAACATTCAGCCTTATATATGTCAGTCCAACGAACAAAAGTTTAAGTCATGTTACTGCCTTTATTGCCTTACTATTAGCCCTATACATAAGAAATAGATTCTTAAAAGATAATATTAACTTGGTCAAAAGTTGTAATTACTCTATTCGTGACATTTTCTGAAGACTGTTGATACTGAGTACCTTAGTTGTGGGAAAAGTTCCCGAGAGGTTTTTTGTCCCACTGCCTCCTAAAAACTATAGCTTGCAATTTTTCTTCAAGGTTTTGGTGTTGAGAAAGGTCTTTTGTGGTGTCCTCTGTAGTTATACATCTTCATAGGTGTTACGACTTGTAGATAGCTATATGGTGGAGTCTGAAAAAAAAATTTCTAGCAACTAAGAATGTGGTTTCCCCCAACCCCCCTTCCCCCAGAAAAACCAGAGGATCTACAGTGGAAAAATGTGGTTTAATTTTGTCTGTTTTTGCTCACAAAGGCATATAATCAACGCCCTATTTTTTTAGTCGACATAAGCTCATTAACATGTCTGTGATCCTTCTGTTTCTTATTGACTGTAGGAATAATAAAGAACTTGTGGCAAGGCTGGGTTCTCCACCTCTTGGGTCTAAAGCTCTGGAATTCCCTACCAGCTTTTCACAAAACATTTGGGGACAATTCAAAGCTTGCCTTTGGAAACAATACTGGTCTTACTGGAGAAGCCCTTCGTACAACTTGATGCGCTTCTTGCACATTTTCGCAGTTTCTATGATTTTCGGGTTTTTGTTCTGGAATCAGGGGCAGAAAATGTAAGTATGTGCTGAATTTACTCAAACAAAGTAATAACATCTGCTGTAGAAATCCCAGAATTCCAAAAGATGGATGTTCTTCCTGCATGGAAGAGATTAATCGGTCCTTTGACAGCATGTACTAGACTCCGTATTTAGCTTCCTCATACAAGTGCATGGCGATTGCATGGTTATAATGCTCGTGTCTGAATGGGATTCTTTGCATTCTGATTGTTAAATTTTGGACCATGCTTTCTAATTGTGTAGTTCGGTGATGTTATTCTTTAAATCATTTTATATATTCTACAGAGAGCTCATGCTGTTGTTTCAACATATCTTCCATGCACAAGTTACAGGGTTCTATCTGTTATAATACAAAGATTTTCCCCTAACATCTTAAAATGTCGATATTGATATTCCTACATACGATAGGGATAATCAGCAAGGCTTATTCAACGCGTTCGGTGCAATGTACCTTGCTGTATTCTTTGGTGGTGTAAATAATTGTTCTTCAGTTATGCCATATGTCAGCACAGAGCGAATAGTTCTTTACCGAGAAAGATTTGCCGGAATGTACACTTCATGGGCTTATGCACTTGCTCAGGTATAAAGAAAAATCCACAGGCCGGGCATGCAAATTTCTATTATTTCACATGCTAATTGAGGCATTGCATTGTGTGTTGCAGATTGTTATAGAGATTCCCTATAGCTTTGTCCAAGCGCTTGAATTTACAGTCATCACATATCCAATGATTGGATATTATTGGTCAGCTTACAAGGTTTTTTGGTACTTCTATTCGATGTTCAATGCCTTATTGTACTTCAACTACATTGGCACGATGATAGTTGCAATGACACCAAGCTTTCAAGTGGCTTCAATCTTGTCATCTGGTTTCTACACGGCAGCCAACCTCTTTGCTGGATACTTGATTCCTCAACCGGTAAGCTATCATCTACTCAGCATGAACTATTTCTAGTTTGCTGGAACTTTATCCACTTCTGCACTTTCATAGACAAGGAATTTTAGATAAAATTGAATGTACCAAAATCTTGTAAAAAACAGTCCAGCATGAGTCATGACCCATACTCTTTCCAAACATCTTTTGCAGCTTTTAAGTTTTGGCCAAATGTTAAGAACTTGATCATCTGATAGCCAAGATTCAATGTTCTTCTAGATAAGCACTTCATGTAGGCCACAATGAGATATAAGTTCTCTAAATTCTTTTTGTACATTCTTTTCTTACTTACAAATTTGTGTTATTTTAACTTGCAGCAAATCCCAAAGTGGTGGATTTGGCTATATTACATAACTCCTACAGCTTGGACATTGAATGGTATGCTTACATCACAATATGGAGATATCCAGAAGGAAATTGATGTGTTCGGAGAAACTAAAACAATAGCAGCTTTTTTAAGAGATTACTATGGGTTTCATCACGATCGATTACCCCTTGTAGCTTTTATATCAATCTTATACCCTTTGACCTTTGCTGTTGTATTTGCTTTTTGTATTCAGAATTTAAACTTCCAGAAGAGGTGATGATCATGTAATAGTCTGTAAAACAGTGGTTTTATAATAATGAATTTGTCATCATAAAAGCAGTTACAAATCCTTTAGTAACAATTTTCCAAGAGTTATTTTCAGTCTGTTGTGAAGGAAGTGTTGAAGGGCCATCAAATGGTCAATCAGAACTCAGAAGGAAGTTGGAATTTCTCCTCTGGTCATTGTTCGTTATCTTTCAACCCCAAAGAAAGAAAAAAAAATCCTTGAAAGGGATAGGGGCAATTTTCACTATGAAGAAGGGAATAAAAGTGGCAGGGTTGCAGTGAAACCGACTTTTATGTGGAAGTAGAAATATTTCTGGGGCAATTCTTTACAAGACAAATTAAACTGCAATTTAAGCATGCTGCCAATTTTAATAGTTTAGGATGCAAATTGCAATCTAAGCATAGTTAAGGGGTGGAAAGTGAAATTAACCCTACAAATATTTCATTTGAAATTGTGCAATGAATTACAAGTTAAACGTAGTTAAGTGCTGTAAGCCTGCAATTAAAAGTTAAGGGGGACAAAATGCAATGTGAGAGTAGTTTGGGGGCATAAAATACAATTAACCCTTTTTGGCCAAAATAATGAAACAAAAATAAAATTAGATATTCAGAGAAAAGAAGACCAAATTACTCAGTCGTTATTGAATTTTTTGAGTAGTTAAGATTTGACCACTCAACTATTAAGAGTATATTTTTACCTACTGAACTATCATATGTGTAAATTTTGGGTCATTCCATTTGATCCATCGTTAATTCTATCAGATCTAACTATTAATAGTATATTTCGTAAATTATGATGACTCTTGGATCCGATAGAGTTAACGGTGAAATTAAACCAAATGGTCCAAAATTTATACTTTTAATAGCTTAGTAGTAAAAAACATATTATTAATAATTGAATGATCAAAACTCGACTATTCAAAAAATTTAGTGACTATTTAGATAATTTGCTCAGAAAAACAAAGTAGGTAAACCGTGGACCCATGGTTCCACTTTACTTTGTGGCCAAATAATACATGACATTTAAAAGCAAAACAATTGAAACTGTGGGAAGTGAGGTGGCCTAATTATTAAATAAGGTTGATAAAAGCCTTATATAAAAAGGTGGGGGCCTCAAGAAAACAAAAGAAGTGGAAGAAGGATAATGCATGCATTTAGTTACTTCCATTATTGAACGCAGAAAACAAAAGAACTGATAATGCATGCATTTAGTTACTTCCATTATTGGACACAGAAAACAAAAGAGCTGGAAGAAGGATCATGCATGCATTTAGTTACTTCCATTATTGCCTTATTGGACACAAAAGCGGGAAAGACAATCAGAAAGAGGAGCATCGTAGATCACACCTAGTGACTACTTCAATGTGATAAAATATCAACGCGAAATCAACTCTGAACTCCGAACTCTGAAGCTGCGTATAACAGAAGGGAGAATATTTTGTGAGAGGATCTACGGGCAAAAGCTATGTAATCTTCTCTTGCACTCTTTCTTCAACCTTGACTTGTTTCTTTCTTGTCCTGACTCCTGATCATATATATGTGTGTGACGGTTAAGAATCCACGAGTTTGAATACCAGACACCTTGGGCTGCATGAATAATTGAATATATATCCTCCGGTTGATTTCATACGGAACCCACCTCTAGATTTTGTAAAGCAGTTGGTGCTGGATGACAGAGTAATAAAATTTACTCTGTTTTCTATCAAAAAAAAAAAAAATTGAATATATGCCCTTTAGTTGAAAGATGGGTTAGTGGATGGCTTTATATTTTCAAATACACTTGACTCTTGAGTCATTTGATCTGGAGGCCTTATTGGATTCAATGAGTCCATGGTATCTAATTATCTATTGTCTAAAAGGGACTGCATTCTAATAAGTGGTCAATAATGGCCTAATTGTAATCAACTTATTTTGAATTTTTGACTCAACCATCTCAATTATAAAAATCTCTCAAAAAAAAAAGTAAAATTTATATCTATTTTGTGTTAATAGTGATGTAGTGTATCCTTGAGAGTGAAGTTATGGATATTGGTTAATTATAAATTGCACCTTGATTAAAATATTTACCATTAATGCTCTGTTCCTTGAACTATCCATTTTTAGCTGTACAAGATTAGAGTTGAAAGCAACTTTCAACGAGTCGGACAGAGTTATGTTCAGAATTGATTTGAAAATTAAAAGGAATGTTTGAACTTGGATTGTGTTTGATAATTTTTTGAAAGAAATTGATCGAGTTTGGCTTGAAATTTTTGATGTACATGAAAAGCTTGGTTTGGCTTATCTTAGTATCGAATCCAAGCACATAAAATCAATACTTGGTTTGGCTTGAAATTGCATGTTGTATTATATAGAGATTTTCACCCTAATTTGTTGCTTTTTTTCCCTTAATTTCTGCTCTCTAATATTCAAGAAATCTATTATGATGAATTACGGATGTGATTAAAATCAATTATGCCTATTCAAGAGATAAGAGTATTATATGTTTGCTATTTTACAAGATAAGCAATATAAGGAAAGGAAAGAAGCTAAGTTAAGGAAGGAGACTTTATGTATATTTTTATGAAATTTACTTGCTTTATGTGTTTCTGAACATATCGAGTCGGACAATGTGAAAATTGTGATTGGATTGTTAATATTTTCGAGTTTGAAGTTATGTTCGGGTTTGGATTGATAGCTAAATAAACAAGTTTGTACGAGTCTGGTTTGAATTGAGTTTAAGTCGAGTACCAAATTGTTTTGTTCGATTTATAGACCTATACAATATCTCAAATTGGAAAGAATAAAGGTGGAAGGGTAGCAGTGAAACTGACTTTCATGTGGAAGAAGAAATATTTATGGGGCAATTCGAGTTTAACTTGAAGTTCTTTACAAGACAGATGAAACTGTAATTTAAGCATGCGGCCAATTTTAATAGTTTAGGATCGATGCAAATTGCAATCTAAGCATAGTTAAGGGGTGGAAAATGAAATTAACCCTGGAAATATTTCATTTTAAATTATGCAATGAATTGCAAGTTAAAGGTAGTTGAGCGCTGCAATTAAAAGTTAAGCAGGGTAAAATGCAATGTGAGAATAGTTTGGGGTGTAAAATACAATTAGCTTTTTTTGGCCAAAAAAATGAAACAAAAATAAAATTAGAGAGTCTGAGAAAAGAAGAGCAAATTACCCCGATAGCTACTATATTTTTTGAATAGTTAAGATTTCACCACTCAACTACTAACAGTATGTTTTTACTCGTTGAACTCTCAAATGTGTAAATTTTGGGTCATTCCGTCTGATTTTATTGTTAATTTTGTCAAATCTAACTATTAATAGTATATTTCATAAATCATGCTAATATGTAGAGTTAACGGTCGAATCAAATGGAATGGTCCAAAATTTATATTTTTGATATTTCAGAAGTAAAAATATACTATTAATAGTTGAGTGACCAAAACTTGACCATTCGAAAAGTTCAGTGGCTATTCAGATAATTTGCTTGAGAAAAGAAAGTAGGCAACCGTTGGCCCATGGTTCCACTTTTCATTGTGCTTAATTAATACATGACATTTAAAAGCCAAACAATTGTAACCGTGGGAAGTGAGGTGGCCTAATTATTAAATAAGATTGATAAAAGCCTTATAAAAAAAAGGAGGGGGCCTCGAGAAAACAAAAGAATGGGAAGGATCGTGCATGCATTTAGTTACTTCCATTATTGGACACAAAAGCGGGAAAGACAATCAGAAAGAGGAGCGTCGCAGATCACACACACCTAGTGACTACACACCGCTTAAACTCTTTAGCAACGTAAACAAAACGGAGAAAATTTTGTGAGTGGATCTACCAGCAAAAGGTGTGTAATCTTCTCTTGCACTCTTTCGTCAACCTTGAGTTGCTTCCGTGTGCGTGTGTGTTTGAGAATCTATGAATTTGAAAACCGAACACCTTGGGCAGCATGAATGTATGTATCCTTTAGTTGAAAGATAGGTTAATGAATTGGCTTTATATTTTACAGAGGCACTTGACTCTTGAGTCATTTGTTCTTTTGGAGACCTTCAAGAAATGTTATGTACACTCTATTTTTTATTATTTACACTCTTACCGTTTGTTTTATCATGTAATCTAATAAATGTATATATATGATTAAAATGATAAGGGGAATGTGATTAACAAAAAGGGGAATGCAAATAACATTTTTCAAGCCTTATTGGGTTGAATGAGTCCATAGTATATCATTATCTATTATCTAAAAGGGGACTGCATTTTAAAAAGTGGTCAATAATGGCCTAATTGTAATCAGCTTATTTTGAATTTCCGATTCAATCATCTTAGTTATAAGAGTCTCTCGAAAACAAGAAAAATTTATATCTATTCTGTATTAATATAGGCTCATGAACCATAGTGATATAGGGAACACTTATGAGTTATGAGCGAAATTAGGGATATTGGTTAATTATAATTTGCACCTGGCATAAAATATTTACCATTAACACTCTGATCCCTAAACTATCCACTTATAGCAGTATAGTTCCTCAAACTTTGATTTCTCGCGAAGTATTTTAGTAACTTGAATTTTCCTTGAATTTTAGTTGGTCATCAAGCAAATTGATAATAATTTCTTTTTAAACCCTTCCTCCTCTCTCCACGCCCTTCTTATCTTCAACTATTAGGTATAGGATTCACTTCATAACAGGAAAAACTCTAATAATCATCCCCTTCCCCTTGCCACTAAACTAATTCCAGTGATTAAATAGACAATTAACTTCTTAACTAAATAAGCCGCAGAAGTTGGCCCTTTTATACTAGCTACTCAACTGCTGAAAATTCATAATTTTTTTTATTTAAGCTTTATATTTATGTCTTAATAGAAAAACACAAACAAATATCAATCCCTTAGAGAAATGTATCTATACCCAACATACCATTCAAAAGTGGTAATTTATTTTGTTCAAAAGGTAAAAGGTTCTTACTGTATTTTTTTCTTTTGGCTAATGAACAGTTAAATTTGATCCACCTCCTAATCTAGTAAGGCCTAAAGAAATTGATAAAAAAGAAATCCAGGGAACAAAGTCCCAAACGAAAATAGTTTAGCGGGGCAAAATATAATTAACCCTAATATTAATGTAACAGGTGAAAGATGATCAATCCCCTCGTAAGCCCCTCATCATTCAGTAGACAACAGACCCTCTTCCATCAAAATTCATCCCTTCTCTGTAAAATGAGAGGGCAAAGACATAAAATGATTCATTGACTGCCCGTGGTGGAGCTAGGAATTAACTTTTGGGGGGAGGGGGCGAGTCTATAGCAATGAAAGTAAAATATATTTACAAAAAAAAATAATGTGAACATATATACCACAAGATTAGAAACAACCTTATATAGAATGAAAATTACTTATACGCTTCACATATACAAAAATATTATCATATTTATAAATCTATTTGACTGTGTGGGATATATGAAATTGTGCACGACGACTTTTAATTTCATCAAAGTCATCAATGATTGAATTTATATCAAAAGTTCTAGCAATTTCTTTCTCAATATACATTATCATAGAGTTGGCAAGAAAGTCTTCCTCCATCCTAGAGCGCAAACAAGTCTTGATGATTTTCATAGCAGAAAATGCACGCTCTGTTGTAGTTGTTGAAACAGAAAGAGTCAAAATAAGACGAATCAATCTATCAATAAGAGTATAGCACATTGACTTTCTTGTCTTTGCTAACACTTGGCACAACTCCTGAAGTGATGACAAATTTTGAAGCTGAGAAGTGAGAATTACAGGAAAACTCAATCTGGAAAAGCTCTAATTGAGTTCTTAAGTGTAACTTCTCTTGATCTGTGAAGTTAGCTGAAGAAAACTTGTTTGCAAGTTGACAAATTTGTTCAATATTGAAAGCCTGAAAATTATCTTTAGGGTGCAATGTTGAACTAAGAATAAGCAACTCTATTACATCTTCCTTAAACCTATTCTTCATTTCAAGTATTTGAGAATCAACCGTTGCCAAAAACACATCAATCTTATAGTGATGCTCCATGGTAATTGGATCATTTTGTTTTCAAATTCTTCCTCGACCTGCTTTATAAATGACATTCATATCAGGCATCTCTATATTTCGTGCATCACAAAATGTCTTTACATTGGTGAACAATTCATTCCATCCATTATCTCTATAACTTTGAAGTCGATCCTTTGTTACTGAAACCAATTTAAGGGCATTCAAAATATCTTGAGATTTGCATTGTCAAGCTTGAGAAAGTACTTGTACAAATCCTAAAATGTCCCTCATCATATGCATAACAAGAACAAAATCAAAGGATGTCATGAAATCGTAAACTCTGTCAGCTTCACTTCTTTGAGTTGATGTATTTCCATAATTGATAACATCAATTAGGATAGAACAAATATCTTCATATTCTGTGAATAAACTACAGATAGAACTAAAATGAGACCCCCATCTTGTAGTCCCTGGCCGTTTTAAGGTACCAATCTGATTCTGACCCCTACCAGTCTCAAGTTCATCAATAGCAATCAATTCAACAATTCTAGCAGCTCTAGCAACTCTAAGTTGGTCCACCCGTTTGCAAGAAAATGAAATGAAATTTATATGAAAATATAAGTATGTAAAGAATTGTTCCACAGGAATTACCTCTTGAGATGTTGCTACCAATGTTAATTGCAGTCGATGAGCAAAACAGTGAATATAATATGCATAGGGGCACTCCTGAATAAATAATGCTTGCAGTCCATTCCATTCTCCACGCATGTTACTAGCTCCATCATATCCTTGGCCACGAATGTTTTGCACACTAAGATTATGGCGAGAAAGGACATCACATAGCTCCTTCTTCAAAGTCAAGGAATTGGTTTTGTGCACATGAACAATGTCAAAAAATCTCTCTCGAATATAGCCTTGCTTGTCCACAAATCTAAGAACAATAGCCATTTGCTCTCTTTTTGATCTATCTTGAGCCTCATCAACAAGTATAGAAAATTTTGAATCACTAATCTCCTCTCGAATATACTTTTGTATCTTGCTCGACCAAATGGACAATATCTCCTTTTGGATCGTAGGAGAAGTATAAGATGCATTTCGAGGAGCATTATCAAGGACCACAACAGCCACTTTTTCATTATAAGAAGACATATGCTTGATCAACTCAATAAAATTACCTCGATTGTTAGAATCTAAACTTTCATCATGACCCCTAAAAGCCACCACTTGAAATGCACACCATTTTGCAGCATCTATGGAAACTTGAAGTTGCAACCAATTTTTTGCAACCTGCTCAGAATTTTGCTTCTCAATAATTTTATCAAGATGTTGCAATGAGTTTCCCAAATCATGATAGCATTGCATTGCCACTTTGTGTGATGAGTTAGGATATTTTCCAATGTGATTTAAAAAAGCATAATTTTTTCCATCATTTACCTTCTTCCCAGATCTAAATCCATTAATTGTGAAGGCCATTGATCCAAAACGGTCCATTGGCTTGGAAAAAATTGAGCAAGGAAGACAAAAGGCAGCATTCTTTGTTGGAGAAAATTCCAACCAATCTGGAAACAATTTATACCAAGAGAAAAGGAAACGTCGGTCCTTCTTGTCAATAACCATTGATTCAATCCGAAGCTCGGGTTGGTATGGCCCAAACTTAATATATGCTCTCCGTACCTCATCCTTTTGATGCTCTAGATATTCCCAAATGGATTTTCACTTTCCAGGATCACGTTCTATGGATGAAATATCAAACTCTAATGATTCAGCTCTACAAAATTTCTTTGTTTGATGCTTAGGAGAAGAATCACGAAGAGGACAAGGAGTTTCACCACTTCCACTTGGTTCTAGACGTCTTTTCTTGAAAAAAGAATCAATTGTCCTGTTGGCCATTACCACTATATTTGCAACAAAACAACAACCTGTAATCGAAATAAAATTGATTGAGAAATACTGGTTATGGCCTATAGAGATGGGAATTTGACCAATGCAAAAGATTGGTTTCCCTAATTCCCTTACAAATTTCGGCCATTCAGCCTGACTGAAAAGCCCGGCCATCACGCAAGGAAGCCAACAGGATCCTCAAAATAAAATTAGTATGAAAATTGGAAAAGGAAACCAGTCTCAAAATCAACTAAAATAAATGCTTATCACCCGAATTCAGAAGGCCAAGTACGAAAAACAATACAAGTCCCCCTCGAGCAATTCATCAAACAACTGGCGCCTGAACTTTTTACACCCACATTTCACTAAATAAATGCAATGTCAAACTAACCTGGTAAATGGTAATAGCTACAATAGTCTGAAATGGTATTGATGATCAGTGTTAGTTTATCTAGCATTGCAACCTACAGGTCAATTTAAGCAACCAATGTCTAATTCATTAACCTGCTCTGATGATACAATAATATGAAACAACCCCTTTACTTCCTGAAAAAAAAAAAGACACGTTCAACAAATGCTAAAAGAAAAATTACCTAGACAGCTAGACCATGCAAAATGCAATGGTACAATCCTTAGCCATGTGCGGGGGAAGGTCTTCACTGGAGAAAGTTCTTCAAGCCTTTAATGGTCTCTACTCGATGAGATTATGAGAAGCCATGACTTTGTGAGCTCACAAGGATCAATTCCAGTAATTAATGATGTATCGTTTGAGCAGATTTGATACATCTCTGCGGAACAAGGTGAGAAGTTTTTGACGTTTTTACTTTCTAGGAAGAAGAACTGTAGCAGAGTCAATTGCCAGGTTAACTGGCTATATTTTCTTTGCACTTGTATGAAGTCCGTTAAAAAAAGTGGCAATTCTCTGTTATTTGGACCAAGTCCAAATAACTTTCAAACATTATTGTTTGGTCCCTTGGGGGGGCAAAGTGAATTTTTTGATCAATTTTTGGAGGGACAAAACATAATAATAAAATTTTTTTTACTTAGAAATTTTTTTTTTTAACAATTGGAGGGGGGGCGGTTGCCCCCCTTGGCCCCCCCTTCCCTCCGCCCCTGTTGATTGCGATGTTGCTCATGTTCTTTATGATGATTTGTCCTCTATTTTTTTTCTTGTTGATTATCGTATTTGTTTGGATACAAAAATTATTTTAAAATATATTCTACTTACCTGATAAACATATTTTTTCCAATCAATTTTTTATATTCTCAACTACCTTTTTATCTCATATATATCACATTACAAAAAGATGTTAGTATAATAACTATTCAAAATAATATTTTGGATAATGCTCTATCCAAAGTTTGGATGGTCAAATTATTCCAAATATTGAATCACAAATACATTTTTCAATTAACTTTTATTTTTTAATTATTTTTTTTATTTTACATATATCATATCACAAAAAAAATACTATATTAATTATTTCAAATAATATTTCAAATAATGGCATCCGAACACTCCATATTATCTCCTATCGACCCTCAACAACTTATGCTTATTTTTACCTGTCGTGACGGGGTTCTCTATCAAGGAAAAGTAGGACCAGGAGAGGAGGGTTATTCATGTTGGTCAAAGAAAACGTACTCGCGAGGTTGATATCAAGTCAAGGCATCATCATCTGAAAAATGGGCTTGCTTTGTTTTCAATTTGCGTCATTTCCCATTAATGATCTGTATATATGTAGCTTGAATTTTTATAACTTATGGAGTCCTAATGAGGTAAACTGTGAAATCCTTCAAATTTTGCATAAGCATAAGGATAGTAAAAAGATTTGACCCCGGTCCCAGAACATAGTGGACGAACTTAATTGGTGAAAACAATAAAATAGAATAGATCGTCCGATATTGGAACATCTACATGAGTGAAGTTTGATTAGATTGTTACACATGTCTTGTCCATAGGCCAATGGACGTAGGAGGTAAGATGCATCGAACTTGATCTGGGCACTACCTAATTGACAAAAAAAAAAGTGGGACTTGACCATGAACCAATAATTATATATAAGAATATTGAAAAAATCTTCAACGGCAATAAATGCTTTGCAATCTTTGATATTATTTGATGATTCAACAATGTTTACTACCAGTCCCAACAGGAGAGATCATTAGTTTATGGCGACCAGTAGTAGTTCGAGTGAATGAAGAAAAGCCCACTTGATTTGATTTGAACATTGAACTGCATTGCCAATGTTGAAAGTCAAAGAAGCCGACATGGATCCTTAGTTCAGGGCTATAGGTTCTACTAATTCTATATTGGAAAAGCCGCCTTTCTTTTTGAATGTAAATTTTTATTGCAGCATGTGAAACAGCCGCTTCAACTTCATTATCCGATGGGTGATATACTATCCTCATTGCTCAAGAACGCTTGTGTATCTATGTAGCATTATCCTTTTTCCCTGAAAAATGATAGTTTTATTATGCAATAAGAGAAAAGGTCTAAAATGGCTGAGTTAGTAGGAAGAGATGATGTAGAATCGTTAGGAATTGAGTTGTCAGAGTTGGGAAGGAGCTTAAGAGAATCATTTCATACTTGTAATGCGAGTTTCAGAAGCATTTCAGCCTTAAGTAATGGAAAGGATGATGAACCTGATGAAGAACTTGCATTGCAGTGGGCTGCTATTGATAAACTGCCTACTTTCAAACGGATGAAATCACCTGTGTTTGATGAGGATAGCGGCAATGAAGCTGATACTAAAAGAAGACGGGTAATTGATGTCACTAAGCTTGGTGCACTGGAGAGGCATTTGTTCATTGAGAAGCTCATTAGGCATGTTGAGCATGACAACTTTAAACTGTTGCAGAAAATCAGGAAGAGAATTGACAGGTGAGATTTCTTCTTGTTTGTGAAATCGGCCGATTGACTTGCTATAAGTTTAATTACATTGTTGAAATGCCCATGATTAAGAGTCATAGATAATGCTCTTAAATTCTAGTTTACACATGCAGTTTTTGGTAGTCATGCATTGAACGATCACTTTCTTGGAGTAAAATATATCAGCATGATGATACTATGAAAATTTGATAAGGCTAACTGACTGGGATTGTGCATTTTTTGTAGTTAACCAGATGCTGTGTTTTCTCCATTTTTAATTGTCTACTATTTGAAAGTCTGTAAGTCAACTTCTCAATTTGGTTCCTGCAGAGTTGGCGTGCAATTGCCTACAGTGGAAGTAAGGTACAGCAATCTCCATGTAGCAGCAGAATTTGAAGTTGTTTCAGGAAAGCCGCTTCCAACACTTTGGAATTCTTTCAAAAGCATGTTTTCAGTGAGTATCTGCTTTTCGTTGAGACAACAATGGTTCTTTGAATGTGTACTCTGCAATACCTAGCCGCAAAGTTATAGTAGAAAACGTGCTAGCTTACCAGTATATTAGGTTAATTAATAATTATTCTACGCTGCCAATAAGGCATTGAAAGAATAACACAGAGATCAACAGTTCATCTTAACTCTTGTTTCCTTGTTGTCTCTTAACTTTCTGTTGGTGCTTTATTTTGTCCTAGGATCTTGCAAGGGTTGCTGGTTTAAAGTCACAAGTATCGAAGATCTGTATCCTTAGTGATGTTAGTGGTATCATTAAGCCAGGAAGGTACAGGATGAGAATCTAGTGTATTTTTCAAATTGTTAAGTGGGGCATTTACTTATCTTCACTTGTGACTAAGTCCTGTGTGAAATCAAGTTGTGACATATAATTGTTGAGCATGTCACTCTTGATCAGCACATCACCTGTCTGTTTGTGCCTTTAACTGTGTTCTAGTGCCTTCAGTCTTGTATTCCCTGGCAGTCTTTTGTGTTCTTTACCATCTGGGGAACTCTCTCTCATTTCTTAGCTACTATAACATCGTATGCTGAACATCTAAGACAGAGCCATTCTTTGCTTGCTATCTACCATTTGGCCCCTGCGAGTTTGACAGTTTGATGAATTAGAATACCAACTCTTAAAATTTACGAACATTTGTTGGCTTTATAACTGAAATTTAACTTTGGATTGCACGGATGGATTGACAATTTGTATCAGGTTGAAGGATCAGAATTCAATTTGTAACTCGAATTTATTCCAGGCTTCTGAAGCATAAAAAAAATGCTTACTTGTCCACGACAGTTGTACTGGGGAATAGGTCTTACTCCTATATTTTGCTTTGCAAAAAGGAAGAACTGAGAGATAGCTTTTGATTAAAACCATTTTATTGCCATCTTATAGTCATTTATTACCATTGCAGAATGACTCTTCTATTAGGTCCTCCAGGATGCGGGAAGACATCATTCTTGAAAGCACTTTCAGGAAATCTTGACAAATCTCTCCAGGTCTCTTTGTTTCTCAGTTCTTTATCTAGCTTGGTAGAAACTATAAAAAGATCACAACATGAAGTGATAGAGCAACCCTGCATGATTACCAACATTTGCCTTTAGTAACTTATTACAGCTTTGCACTGATTCTTGTGCACTCCCAACCACTTGAATGAGCCAACTATTCTGAAGTGATTATTCAGGCTGGTCTTCTGATATATCATATCATGGAAAGTTATTTAAATCTTGAACAGAAACTGAAAGATTTCGTCATCTGTTAATCAAGATATTCCTGAATATTTGCTTTTAGGATGCTCACAGTCATGTAACAGTTTTGGAGAAAATCATGGCACCAGCATATCATTTAAGCTTATTTGTTCACACCAAAACTTATTGTTTGCCTCAGTGTTAACTTTGTTATTTTTCTCTGACAGGTTACGGGAGAGATAACTTACAATGGATACAAATTCTCAGAATTTGTACCCCAGAAAACCTCTGCTTACATAAGCCAATATGATATTCACATTCCAGAAATGACTGTTAGGGAAACACTAGATTTTTCAGCTCGTTGTCAGGGTGTTGGGAGTAGAGCAGGTACATTTTCAGCACAAGGGAAGTTCTGTTTCTATTTGAACATATCGTGTCTGTGATGAACCGATGATGAAAGTTGAAGTCTTTTTTGCTTTAAAGCTATAATGTGTGAGCTCAGTCGAAGGGAGATAAAGGCAGGAATTCTCCCAGATCCAGATATAGACACTTACATGAAGGTAGATTTTGTTCCTTTTGCATTCTAACTCAGTTTTGGTTGGTTACCAATATGGTTTATCAAAGTTGTATGTTTCATTTACCCTTGAAAATGAATCTGCATCCTTATGAACTTCAAGTGGTAATTGATGTGAAAACCATGTAAGAGGCTGGATATTATCCTGGTTTACTTTGTGTTCATTTTTTATTTCTGGAAACAAGGTGGAGTAACACTACGATTTCTTGAAAATTAGCCGAAATAGAGGATAGAGAAAAGAGGAAACCAGGGTTAGGCCAAGAAGCATAGGTATAAATTTTTGCTTGTCAGTATATTCCGGGAAATGGAATAACTTTGCTCTAATTCTTAATATGTATTTGATTTTCATTTGCAGTTGTATTGCATATTCCACTCTTTTTGCATAAGACACGTTAGTGGCCATCAAGCAGAAATTTTACTTTGTTCCGTATTGTTTCTGAGCTTTAATATTCCTCTCTTCTAACGTGAATCTGTTTTGATCAGGCAATTTCTGTTGAAGGGCAAGATACAACTCTCCAAACAGATAATATTCTGAAAGTAGTGAATTCTTTCACATATTGGTCTTCAGCTGCTATTCAGTTAGTCTAAGTCAGACAATAAACTTTACGTGTGATTGATTGACTGCCAATCCTTTTCCAGATACTTGGACTTGACATATGCGACAATACATTTGTTGGAGACGCCATGAGGAGAGGTATCTCTGGTGGCCAAAAGAAAAGGTTGACAACAGGTAACATGAAGCCATGCTTAATAGATGCAACTCTTAATCTCCTAATATTGAGCTTTTGCATGACAGCTATTATATTTAATATCAGCAACTTATCAACAATGAACTTCTGAAATTTTACCTGGCTGAACACGAACAATGCAGTAGTCATCGCTTATAGTGGCATTATACAGGGGAGATGATTGTTGGCCCTACAAGAGCTTTATTTATGGATGAAATTTCTAATGGACTGGATAGTTCAACCACATATCAGATAGTGTCTTGCCTTCAGCAGCTTGCACATATAACAGATGCCACTATACTCATGTCACTTCTTCAGCCAGCACCAGAAACATTTGACTTGTTTGACGACATCATCTTGATGTCTGAGGGAAAGGTTGTGTATCATGGACCACGAAATAATATTCTCGAATTTTTTGAGAGTTGTGGATTTACATGTCCTGAAAGAAAAGGAGTTGCTGATTTCCTACAGGAGGTGAGGCCATGATGATGCCTCATGTGGGTTTTCTTTTGTTGCCATCGTCCTTTTGGTTACAGTTAAATTAATCTATGAAAACCATTGCAGATTATCTCGAGAAAAGATCAAGCACAGTACTGGTATCGAAGTGAAGAAACATATCTTTACCATTCTGTTGATATGTTATCAAGGAAATTTAATGAATCTTGTTATGGAAAGAAGCTTGAAAGGCCATTCATGAAGTGCATGGACTGCAAAAATGCTATCATCTTGAGCAGGTTTTCGGTTCCTAAGTGGGAACTCTTCAGAGCTTGTATGTGGAGAGAGTTTCTTCTCATGAAAAGAAATGCTTTTGTTTATGTTTTCAAATCGGTTCAGGTTAGCTCAATATTTTCTTTGCCTTATACTTTTTGATGATTTCGTTTTTGCTTTTAATGTACATGAATATAAGATCATTAAACCAGAAAAAGTGAAGTAGCCCTTCCATGTACCTGTAGCACGTTATATTTGTAAAGTAGCCATGCAAAAATTGAAATAAAAAAAATGAACTTTGAGCTGCTAATTTGGGAAAGCTGAATTTTGGCAACTGCTTTATAATATTTTCAATAAAGGCCAACCAATCTATTCAAATCCTCAGAAGCCCTTACAAGCTAGTCTGCAGAAAATGAGGAAGATATCCCTGCTTTCCTACTAATCACCATCAATGTACACTGAAATTCTCCACTTCTCATCTGTTTAAGGCGTCTAACACCATTTACAATATTTTCAGCTCCTTATTGTTGCTTCCATTACTATGACCGTATTTCTACGAACACGGATGGGTGCTGATGTTCTCCACGCAAATTATTACCTGGGAGCTCTCTTTTTTGCTCTCATCATGCTTCTAGTTAATGGAAATCCAGAGCTGCCAATGACTGTTGCAAGACTGGGAATCTTTTATAAACAGCGAGACTTGTACTTGTACCCGGCTTGGGCATATGCAATCCCATCTGCTATTCTAAAGGTTCCTATCTCTTTGCTGGAAGCTGTGGTATGGACTTCTTTAACTTACTATGTCATTGGATATAGCCCTGAGGTTGGGAGGTGAGCTACTAACGCACTTGAGTTTGTCATAGATAGTTCATTTTCTTAAACACATTTTCCTGTATCTAGAAAAGCATATGTAGCAAACATAATCACCAACCTTTTGTTGGAACTTATGTTAACATCTTGAATTGTAAATTCCTGAGATCTCCCTTCAGGTGTGTCATTATATGTTAAAACATTGCCTCTCATTAGCTGGAGCGGGCAATCATGATGACCTCCCCTGTTAAACTTGTTTTGTTATATTCAGTCATTATTCCAGCCAGCCAACGAAGGGAGCCTAGACAAATTGGGAGAGGTGATGAGAGTACATACACTTTTCTGATCTGAGTTAATCATGCACTGGAAGCATGGTTCAAAGTCGCGGCCGCGGCCCAGAACGTTCCACATCGGTCTCGGCATATCGGTCGCGGTCTCGGTGAGACGTAAATTTTAAAGTATTTAATATTCTAAAAATTGTTAATAATATAAAAAAGTATGCTAAATAAAAATAATTAAAAAATAGCAAAAGAAACGGCCAAGTCAATCCGTCACGGTGTGACTCGGCTGATTTCTTGTCTTGACTCGAGATAACTCGGAGTGATTCGATGTGACTCGGCCGAGTCAATCCCTCGCGGTGACGACTCGGCCGATTTCTCGGCGAATCAAGTATTTCGGTATCGTTTCGTCACGGTATCGTATCGGTAGGGGCCGAGACGGTGACGACTCGGCCGAGTCGTCTCGGTCTCGGCCGAGACTTCGAACCATGACTGGAAGGGGTTTAAGAGGGTTAATAGATTATGATCGCATTTAGGACCTTGAAACCATGGGTAATTAGTTTATTCACTAATGAAATATCAATCTATTCCAGGTTCTTCCGCCAACTGATTTTACTATTTTCCATTCACCTGACATCAATATCCATGTTCCGTTTTATTGCATCTGTCTGCCAAACCGTGGTTGCTTCTACAGCAGTTGCTAGCTTATCGATATCATTTGTCCTGCTGTTTAGCGGCTTCATAATCAATAGGCGTAAGTGCTTAATGATTTTTTGTCATTCTTGGTCCTGATTTTCAGTTTATACTTGAGCAAGTAAAGAATAATCTGAAGATGAGTTTATTGCAGCCTCTATGCCAATTTGGTTGAAATGGGGATTTTGGGTGTCTCCATTAACATATGGTGAGATTGGCCTTGCTTTGAATGAATTTCTTGCCCCACGGTGGCAGAAGGCGACCGGTTTTTTTTTTTTTTTTTGCCCTTTGATCATTTGTTTTGCATCTACTTTGAACTAGAATTATGCTGAAATGGACTGACAAATTATTAGATAACCACAATTTTCTATTTCTTACTATTCATGCTACATTTAGTGAATATGCCTTATGCTTCAAAAATAAAAGAGCAAATTACACTTTATCCCCCTGTAGTTTAGTATTTTTTCTACATAATCACCTTATAGTTTCAAAAACTATAGATAACTCTCTCTTGGTTTAGATTAAAGTGTCAAAGTGACGGAATTTGTATTCCATAACGGAATCAACTAAAATATAAAAAATACCTCTATATAAAGTTAAAAATTATTTATTAGCCACAGGGGGGTTATATATATATTTCAAAAATTATAAGGGAGTTATATGGTAAATCACTAAACTATAAGGGGGTTATATGATAAAATATAAAATTATACGGGGTTAGAATGTAATGCATGTTATGTTTATATATTTTGGTCACTTCATCCATTTTGATTTTTAAACAAGGGAAATTTTGACATTTTTATAAGTTCTTCGGTTACTTTAACACTTTAATCCAAACTATGAGAGAGTTATATATAATTTTTAACACTACAGGGAGGTTATGTGAAAAATAGCTATATCATGGGAGGGTAAAGCGTATTTTGCCCAAAATAAAATAAAATGAAATATCAGACGCAACGTTTGTGCTAGAACTATTTGGTCGTAAGTTTTCAGTGCCCTGATGAGCCAACCTCATACTACCAGTGGTCAAAGACCAATTGTTCTTTCATTTCAGTATTCAGTATTCACATTGGTTTCTCATCGCCCATATTCCTTATAGTGTCTTCATTCGTCCCACGAAGTCCTAAAATATTTAGGGCAAATTACATTTTACCGCCATGCAGTTTAGCATAATTTTACATAACTCCCCTATGATTTCAAAAACTATACATAACCCTCTCATGGTTTAGATTAAAATATCAAAGTGACGGAAATAGTTATTAGTAACGGAACTTCTAAAAATGTTGAAATTACCCTTATACATATATGACACATTAATCCCGTATAATTTTTATATTTTACCATATAATCCCTTATAATTTAATACTTTACCATATAATCCCCTTATGATTTTCAAAATATACATATAATCCCCATTTGTTAATAAATAATTTTCAACTTTATATAAAGGTATTTTTGACATTTTAGATGACTCCGTTAAGAATAATCATTCCCGTCACTTTGACATTTTAATCCAAACTATGAGGGGATTATGTATAATTTTTGAAACCATAGGTTATGTTAAAAAATGCTAAACCACGGGGAGATAAAGTGAAATTTGCCCAAATATTTAAGACAGACAAATGTATAGACCTTGAGTCAAGCTAACTAAGCTCGACTAAGGTATCTCCTGTTCTATCGAGGATGTGATATATGAATCATTTTTGTCCTATCAATCATGCTCTTCTGAAGTTCAACGTACCCTTTTAGGCTTTCTTGTTAATCATGTGTTTTCTTCAAATGTAGAACTGTTGATTTCTCTTCAAGTTTTTCTACATCTAAAATTTTATACGCACTATCAATGACTTGCTATAATATCTATGCTATTGTCTGATTATTCACATTGCCTGCGTCATCTTATGAAGCAGTTCAGTTTCAGCTAATGTTAGTACTCTTCGTCTTTAATTTTAGATGCTTCCTTCAAACGCAACAATAGGACAAGAAACACTTGAAAGCCGCGGGTTGAGCTTTGATGGTCACTTGTTTTGGATTTCAGTTGGGGCTCTATTTGGGTTTACATTGTTCTTCAACATCGGTTTCATGTTAGCCTTAACTTTCTTAAAACGTAGGTTCATCTCCGTTATATCTTCTTGTAGAATGGAGATTATTTTTCATACGATACCCACTAATCATGGCGCATGCAGCCCCCGGCTTTCGCACTATTATTTCGAGTGAAAAGCTTTCTCAAATACGAGGTGACAAAGACTCCACCATAGTAGGAACTCCACAAAATTTGAGAAACTCCATTGGACCTTATGAAGGTGAGCATCATATATCACCAGTGATTCTCAGTTATATATCTTAATAAGATGTCTATTTCCTTGCGGGTGAATTCTTAGTTTATGATGAAAAAAAAAAAGAATTCTACAACGAGGGCGTTTCCTGGAGGGGTTTCTCTAAATGGGGGTCTTCGCATTTTGAGAATGCGAGCTCACTGAGCTCGCATTCCGGAAATGCGAGCTCAATTCGAGCTCGCATTCCGGAAATGCGAGCTCAGTGATTTGTGTCTGCTTTATTCAGTATGCTGAGTTTCAAATGATTAAGAATGATCCAGGATGGGAGGAGGATTTTGGAGGAGAGGAGGCGAAACACCTTCAGCTGTTAAATGGGAGGACAGGATCATAGAGATTCGTGAAGGTTCTTGGTCCTACGTTTCTAGTTCGATCGGCAAAGCCCCTGGTATGTGCTTTAATGTAGCTCTTTTTCACTGCTTCCACCTGTTTTGATTCTTCAGTTATGCTGTTTCCTTCTCAACCTCCGTGCTTATTTTACATGCAATTGTCATCTAGTGCAGAGAAAGTTGTAGGCACTGCAACACCTCAAGAACCACCTGAGGAGTGGCAAGCTTCATGGAACATCTCAACAGGAAATGAACTATTAATACGTTGGGCGTCTCCGACATCCAGTTCAGGCTTGAATTTTGTCATAAGAAACAAGGAACCTACTGACAGGATGGTACAGCCCATTTCCGGAATCACTGATTGTCAAAATCCTTTTTTGTTTTAATACAAAAATATAAATCTCTGCCTCCAAAAAAAAAAAAAAGCAAAAAAATTTGCATCTCTGTAATGCGAGCTCTGTTGAGCTCGCATTTGAGGAGAGCTCGCATTTGAGGAGAGCTCGCATTCCAGGAATGCGAGCTCTCAACAGAGCTCGCATTCGTGAAATGCGAGCTCTCCTGAGCTCGCATTTCACGAATGCGAAGACCCCCCGACAGAATTCCTCGCCACAATCACCCCTTTTGTAGAATTTTTTTAAAATTCATCACAAACTTAGAAATTTCTCATTTCCTTGTAGACTAAGTCGTATTGCTTCACATAACTTCATATCTTTCTCTTTTTTGCAGGCAAAATGGTTTTGCCTTTTGAACCATTGACTGTAGTCTTTCAAGATCTGCAGTACTACATTGACACTCCAGTGGTAAGTCATGTATTTGACATCTGATATTTTGTGGCAAACAAGAAGATGCATATGGATATAGGTGATAAATTTTGTTCTATGAAGAGCAGTTCATTGTACTTAAGAAACTAGGTAGCACACGTGAAAAGCATAGAAGATCCAAAAAAAAAAAAAAAAAAAAAAGAGAGTCGGCTCATCTTGATATTTATTTTCACTTCCAATTTTGATCAACTCATCAGCTTTACCAGTTTCCAAATTCTCTCTGAACAATGGCTAACAGCTTCTGCGGCTTCTGCGAAAACTGTAAAAGTCATGTTTTCCTTGTTATAGAGTTATATAGAGTGGGATTTCTGAAAGAAAAATCCAAAATTTTTTGAATTAGGAATAATTTAGGATAGGAGGAGCAATTATTTTCTTGGACTGTTTATATTTTCAAGAAATAGGAAACTTGGGAATGACAAAATGAGAAATGTTTTGCTTCCTTGTCTAATGTCTTCAGGCTAAAATCTTTCCTATGCTTCAGAGTTATATTATTTCAAATTATTGAGAATACACCAATGAAATCACATGCTTTAGACTAATGAGGATGTGTAATGATATGGACCAGGTAAAGCATACACTTAAGAAGATTCTCTCAATAGATCATGGGAGTAAATTGTTCCCATTTTCTTCCTTTTTCGTGCATCAAAGGCATTAGAGTACCCATAGTACGAGATTTTTGAATGTAAAGCACCTTGTCACTTATCCATGCTTTTCGAAGTGCCGAAGACGTGGTAATTGATATGATCTGAAGATGCATTTGGACCGTGTTATCTTTGCTTATTCAATCCTCTACCGGTTTCAGGAAGTAAAGGAGCATGGATTTAGCAGGAAAAAGCTCCAACTTCTTTGTGACATTACGGGCGCATTCAGACCCGGTGTTCTTACAGCACTTATGGGTGTAACTGGAGCTGGAAAAACAACTCTTCTAGATGTCCTTGCAGGTAGAAAAACAAGTGGTCTTGTCAAAGGAGACATAAGAATTGGAGGTTTTCCCAAAGTTCAAAAGACATTTGCTCGGATATCGGGTTACTGTGAGCAAACAGACATTCATTCTCCACAAATTACTGTTGAAGAGTCAGTTATTTTTTCTGCTTGGCTGCGTCTTCATCCTCAGATTGATTCAGTGACTAAATCTGTATGGGGCTATAATTTAAGTAGTTGAGATAATATTTATTGTTGAGTTAATTTCTTTCTTTACATGCACATTGATATTGTAATGGCATAATAATTTGTAGGGCTTTGTGAAGGAGGTCTTAGAAACTATTGAGCTTGATCAAATAAAAGATTCTCTTGTGGGCATTCCAGGCGTTAGTGGCTTGTCAACTGAGCAGCGTAAGCGACTTACAATTGCCGTTGAGCTGGTTGCTAACCCCTCTGTTATATTCATGGATGAACCTACCACTGGATTGGATGCAAGATCTGCTGCAATTGTCATACGGGCTGTAAAGAATGTGGCTGATACAGGAAGAACAATTGTTTGCACTATCCACCAACCAAGCATCGATATATTTGAAGCATTCGATGAGGTAATTTGCCGCCAATGAACCATTAACTCAACAGTGTAAATATAACAATACTCCCTATTTTTTTCTTGGGCATTGCTTTACTTTTCTGCACTTATCATCCAAGTATGTATATATATTTGTTATGTGATCCTATTGAATTCTCTTTGAAAATGTTGCAGTTGATTCTCTTGAAATCAGGAGGGCGCATGATATACTCTGGACCACTGGGGAGACAATCCAGTAAAGTTATAGAATATTTTGAGGTGATTTTTCCACGCACTATTTTCTTGATATTCCATATATCTTTCATAGTGCATGTGCCTTATTTCATGGACATATTCACCTTTGTCACATTTGTAGCTATCATTTACCATGTAACAGGAGATCTCAGGTGTGCCAAAGATTAGAAACAACTATAATCCAGCTACATGGATGTTAGAGGTCACTTCTACATCTTCTGAGGCTGAAATTGGTGTAGACTTTGCTCAAATTTATCAGAATTCTACTTTGTACGAGTGAGTCCAACCGTGACCTAGAATTCAAAACCTCTTTGGTCACCACAGCTTTACGTATCTATATGCATAACTTGCAAATCAAAAATTTTCCAGCTATGGATTTATCTTCTGAAGGTTACCATCTGAAATAACCTGAGAATCATAAGGTGACAATCACAGTATTGTCACTTATCTTTTATAGCAAATAAAAATCCTGCACTTACTAGAGATGCTGAAATACTTTCATATTCATTAGATTCTCACAAGATGTGTTGAGCATGTTCTATGTTTTAGACAATTAATATTGCTTAAAGTGTTTGTTATTTTAAAGGGTAAATTACTTATTACCCCCTTGTGGATTCATCTATTGTTACATGACCCTCCTAATGATTCAAAATATTCACTTCACCCCCTATAGTTTTCTATAAAATAAAAACTTGACCGAGAATAGCTGTGTAATGTTGTTAGTTGAAATATCAATAGTACCCTTACTTAAATGCTAAATTAATCGACGGTTTAACCACCTGGTATAAAAGTATAGGGAGATTACGTGAATCAATACAAAAATCGCAAGGGATAAAGTGGACATTTATTCAAATCATAAGAGGGTTACATGGATATGAAGATTTGATCACATTCGCTTTTAAAGGATGTTTGATATAAACACCGTAATTGATTGTGCACTCCGTCCATTTTTCACTTTACATAAAACCACAGGGAGGTTATGTTGCTATTTTAAAACCTTATGGGGGTTATCTGGCATTCTATAAAATCACAGGGGGTAATAAGTGATTTACCCTATTTTTGATGGTAGCTATTTCATTTTACACTTGCTTGTAAACAAAAATCTCATGGATTTCTCACATTAACTTTTATACCATGGTAGATGTAAGCACAGCAAAAGTTGTAATTATCCTGTTTCCCATTCCTTTGTTCTCAGGGATACTAGAGAACTTGTGAAGCGACTGAGCATTCCACCTCCTGGTTCAAAAGCTTTGGATTTTCCAACTCGTTTTTCATTGAGTGGATGGGGACAGTTTAAGGCTTGCCTCTGGAAGCAATTTTGGTCCTACTGGAGAAGTCCCTCGTACAATTTAGTCCGATTGCTGCTAATGCTTATACAATCTCTGCTTTTTGGCATCCTGTTCTGGGATCAAGGGAAGAAGCTGTAAGTATACGTTATAGAACCTGTTTCTAACAACGTTGTGTGTATATATGTGTATCTGAGACCAGCTTTTTCGTTGCATGTCTTCTGCATGGTAAAGACTCGAATTTAACCACATCTAGTGCAAATACTCAGCTTCCATTTACCATTTTTGAATTTTCCAGCTGGTCTTGCATAGTTTCATTCTACGGTAGATTGGCATCTCAATACCTCTGATATCAACCATAAGCAACTGACTTTGTTCCAAGAACCATCCATCTAACTTCGTTTGAATGAACGGTTGAAAATGCAATGGCTGTCCAATATTTTGTTAGTGAAGACTGTATCCCTGACAAAAATGTCCCTTTTTTTTTAATAGAAATGATCAGCAGAGCGTATTCAATATTCTTGGTTCGATGTTCAGCGCTGTAATCTTCTGTGGTATAAACAATTCCTCTTCAGCTCTGCCATATGTCAGCAAAGAGCGCACCGTCCTCTACCGAGAAAGATTTGCGGGAATGTATTCTTCATGGGCTTGTGCACTTGCGCAGGTAAAAGTATTGATTCAAAAAAAATTATGTATTTTGTTTGATTAAAGATAGTTAAGGTCCAGATACAAAATTGCACTGAGGTTCAAATATTATTTTGCCTTGCATGGTCTTGAAAAATAATATCGACCTGTAGTATGATCTGTTGCAATTTCCCAAGATTTAAAGCAGTATCAGGTCCCTCCCTCCAATATACATTCTGACCGTACAAGTATACTCTTCACTTTTGTAGGTTACTATCGAGATTCCCTACATCTTTGCCCAAGCAATTATATACACAATCATCACATATCCAATGATTGGATATTATTGGTCAATTTATAAGGTTTTCTGGTACTTCTACTCGATGTTTTGTACGTGGCTATACTTCAGTTATCTAGGCATGCTGATGGTTTCAATCACACCAAGCTTGCCATTGGCTTCAATTTTGCTGTCAACTTCTAATACGTTGCTCAACCTTTTTGCCGGGTTCCTTGTTCCTCGACCGGTAAGCATTTCTTTAACCACAGATACAATCCCAAGCCCTTCTGCTAGGTCGGCATTCCATGCATGTGTACACAAACATCCATAGTTATCATAGGGAGGTTGGTAGAAATTTATAGGCTTTAAGTTTTGCAACTTGCAACATTTTATAGGCTGAGGCGCTGAGCTAGGCCAGAAATTGGTATGAGCTATATATATACACTAGACATATATGAGCACTTAATGGAAGAAGAATTGACATCTGAGAAGATTTTTTTTTTGGGGGGTAAATTACCTTTTATCCCCTGTGATTTGAAGCTGTACCACATAACTCTTGTGTGGTATAAAAACCAATAGATAACTTCCTCATAATTTGAGTTAAATTTCACTGCAGTTTTTCTGTTAAAACTAATGATCAATAGTAAAAAGTTAAAGTCAAATTAATAAATAAACAAACTCACCCTTTCACTACCTCTATATAATTTGGGTTAAATTCCACTGTCAGTTTTTCTGTTAAAACTAATGGTCAATAGTAAAAAGTTAAAGTCAAATTAATAAATTAACAAATTCACACTTTCACTACTTTTTTTTCTTTCTTTCTCTCTCTATCTCTCTCTCTCTCTCTCTCTGGAAAGGGAAGAGATGATTTTGAAAACCTATACTACAAAATCCTAATTTTCTCCAAATACAAAAGAGATGGAAGAGAAATAAAAAACAAATAAACAAGAAACAAAAAAGATGGAAAGAAAAAATAAAACAAATAATAAGAAACAAAAAATACCAAATCTTTTTTGATGACAAATATCATTGTAGGTTTTTAAACCAAATCTTTAACGGTATTTTTTAATTCTTATTTATCTATTTTTTTATTTAAATTTCTTCTTTTTTATGTTTGGAGGGAAAAAAAGAAGTAATGAAAGGCTAAATTTGCCAATTAATTATTTTGACTTTGACTTTTTACTATTAACCATTAGTTTTAACAGAAAAACTAATTGTGATACTTCAACCCAAATCATAAGGGAGTTATATATTGGTTATTAAATCATAAGAGGTTATGTGACAAAGTACCAAATTATAGGGAGATAAAAGGTAATTTATCCATTTTTTTCTTGGGTTGTAGTTGACACTTAGAGTTCTTTTTTATTCCTTTTACTTGCAGCAAATCCCAAAGTGGTGGATTTGGTGCTATTACTTAATCCCAACATCTTGGACTCTCAATGGTTTGCTTACTTCACAATATGGGGATGTTGACAGGCAAATTGAGGTGTTTGGAGAAACTAAAACGGTAGCAGAGTTTTTGAGAGATTACTTTGGATTTCATCACAATCAACTACCCATAGTTGGTGTTGTGTTGATTTTGTACCCCATTACTTTTGCTGCCTTCTTTGCTTGCTGTATTAGGAAGTTAAATTTCCAGAAGAGGTAAATGATTACAATTGTTTGTATATCTGTTGCTACAAATCATGGAACCTTTGTTATTGTAACGATTTATCAGTAGGTTGCAAGAACTTCGATCAACGTGTACAAACTACAAAGTCTGTATTCCTCTCTACCTGCCTAGGTTAGTGAAGAGGTGAATTCTGATCGGCTGGAGTGAACTGAGAGCTGAAAGCACTGCAGCTGAAGAGGTCACAGCGGGCTTGGTCACCTGCTTAAATTACAAGGGGGGCTGAATCCCCCGGTAGAACTCCGAAACTTAAGTCAGTTCGGGATTGGGAAAATAGCTTAATAGAGAGAATCAGTGTATGGTTTTTATCAGGAAAATTGGTCATCCCCTTTCTCAGTAGAAGCCTTGAGTATTTATAGAGGATGGACAGGAAAGAGGGACTGCTGGCACGGGTCCCTAGAGATCTGGCAGGGTCAGCGCATCAAGGTGATTTGATGGGCTCTGCGGAAAGGTGCGCCGGAACAGTCATGTGTCAGGCGGCGCATGTCAGAGCAGCTTTATCAGAGGTGTCAGAGGTCATGTTCCACAACTCCGGTTGTCAGGTCGTTATACTTCATTTCGGCTTTGTGAGGGAAAGCCTTGGCCGAGGCGGTAACTGGGCCGAAGTCAATTCACGATGGTGATAGGCCGAGGCGGTCGAAACAGAGGTACCACAGGACAGGGCCCCAGCGCTATCTGAGCTGGAGATACCCTCCTCACTAAGCCCCCCAAGCCTTGGGAAGGGCGGGGTCGTTGCTTTCCGAGGTAGCTACTTCCCGAGGCTGACAAGAGTGTAGAACACGGAATACAGTAAGGACACGTCATGACTGCGCGGATGGGACTGGGAAGGAAGTGAAATGATGGCTGTCAGCCTTAATGTCAGATCCAGGGATGGACGTGAAATCAACGGTCAGATGAACAGTCCCCCCATTAATGAGGAGAGAAGTCGTGTCCTCGAGGATGCCAAAGGTTCCGCCTTTTCATCTTCTCCCTGTTAGCCTATAAATAGGAGTCCCTTTTTACCGTTTCACTCTTTATCAAAAATCAAAAATCACCTCAGAGCTCTGTTTCTTTGTTTTTTCACTTCGACAATCTCTTACACCACATCTTCTGAGTAAGTTCACTTCTTCCCCTTCATTTCTCCTCCTTTAGCAATGGCTAGGACAGCACGCACCCACAAAGAGACGGTGAGGCCCGACTTCACCGAAGCAGAGAGGCCAGATCCTTCCGAGGAGAGAACCGCTTCTGAGGCCGGGGAAGGGGGGGCCGAAGCGTCTCATCAGGTCGGGACACCCCAGGAACAGAGCGAGGAAACCGAGGTCGAAGCGGAGGTCCTCTATAACGATGACCTCTGATAGGTTGCAATTTTATCATTTATTTTATTATTAATTTCCCCTATTACCTGACTTGATGTGGATTAATTGCTGGATTCTACTCACTTTTAGTATTTGTCATTTATTTCAGGGAGTAGAACAAAAATATGATAATAAGTACCAATTTGGCAGAAAAGGAGCCCAAGTGATAGAGCCTGCCCCAGGGGCATTTTTCGAAAAGAAGATGTCACGCCCATTTCGGTAATTTCTGCAGAGGAATGACGGACGAAGGGTTTCTTTCTCCTAAGAGCCGCCGCACATCTGACGGCTGGCTTTATCTTGAGTTTCTCGTCTGTAGCTTAAAAGAAAAAGGCTGGACTTTTCCCTGGGGGGGGCCTCTGGCTTGAAAAAACCTCCTGCGGGCATGGCAGGAGCAAAAGACAACTTAGCTCAGCTTTTGGTCTCCCTGGCATGTCAGGAAGCATTTTGGTAGCTTTAGCTTTGACTTTTCCTTTTAGCCTTGAGTAGTTTTCTTTTCTCCGTATGTTAGGAGAAGCAAAAACAATGGATACTTCCAGTAGCTTTTCTTTTCAGCCCGTATTCCATCGGATCGAATTTGTGCATTTTCCAATTGATGGCTGCAGTTTCCTCTTCGATTTTGCGTGGGATTTGTTCACCAAAATGAACTAATTCCCTTTTTCTAGTTAAGGAGCAACGGATGCTTTGGATCGCCTAAAAATTGTGAGATCGATTTAATTTTATCTTTTCCTTTATTTATTGGTATTCGCATATTCCTTGGTTGCAGTGCTTATGATTGTTTGATTAATTGATTGTCTTGGATCCGGATAATTAGTTAATTTGATAATCTATTGTCAATTGGGACATTAAATCCGTAATTGTTTAATTGTCTCAAAATAGTGGCAACTGGCATGATTAGGTTTGTGTCAGGGGAATACGCTGGCTAATCTAAAATAACCCTGGTAGTGCGTTATTTGGTTAGAATAGGGCTCCTCTAATACGTAAGGCAATTGGGGAATTAAATTCTATGGGCGTACCTAGGATTATTTCTCAATTAGAGCAGTGATTAACGGGCGTACCTTAATCATCGACACAGTAAGGAGGGGTTGACTGTCATCGCTTGTTTGGCAGTTATAACCTATTTATTAGTAAATAATTGGAATTGCCTTTGCTTATCGATGATCAATTAGGTGAACCATTGCTGAAGTTATTCCTTGGTTAGATCCTTAATTATCATTCATTTGATTTTAGTAATTTGTTATTTAATTTTTAGTAGTTTCTTAGATTTTATTTGAATTTCTTTTATTGTCACCTTCTGCATAAAAACACCCCCTTGTCACTGTGAATTTGAAAAGGAACAATTACTCCCAGTCCCTGTGGATTCGACCCTGTTCACCGCTATCTACTGAAATTACTTTTAGTTTGAGCAGGTTTTATTATTGTACAGGCTGACAACCTGTCAATTTTTGGCGCCGTTGCCGGGGACTGGTGCCAGATTAATTTGTTTCTTTTTGAGTTTATCTTGTTTTCATTTTTTTTAATTTATTTTTCTCTTATTTTTTTTTATTATTTTTTATGGCTGCTAACATTCCATATTTTGATGATAGACTGGACTTTGTTCCTGAATGGGGTTATGAGACTCATGTTTTTCCTAATGATCAATGGGCTGTTGCAAATTGTGAAACTTATTTTGATTCAGGTTATTCAACTGACACATGCCCCGCATTTCAAGATAATTTAAGCGCTCCAATTGATACTTTTGGAGATTTTCCACCCCAATATCAAACGCAGTGTGACCCTTATTCAAACGGGTATGATCAAGGATGGTGGGATAATTCCAATTTTGATTATGCAACCGGGCCAATGGATTTTCAACAGCAAGAGTCTCGGCAATCATCCTCCTTGTCAGGTATGTCTCTTGAAGAAATGATAGGTTTACTAATTGCTAATTCAAATCGATTTCATCAGGAGACACAAGCGAGCCTAAATCGATTTCATCAGAAGACACAAGCGAGCCTTCGCGACCTGGCGGATCAAATGCGTCAATTGACATCCAGGATAGATCGATTGGCTTCTCAAATGGAAGAATTGCCAGCACAAACCAATATCAATCTTGAGGAAGATGAGAGTGCAATTGTCCGGCCAAATGACATGGAACTGCAAGAGTTTCAAGAAAACGGATTTAAAGATGCAGTTGAAAAGGAAGCTGAAGTGCAAGAAATGAGACTCCAAGATCAACTCGTTCAAGTGAATGAATCCAGTGAACAATCTCCAAATGCGGTGACATCCCCTCCACTCCTTCATCAATATTCTCCTGACTCTTACTCTTCAATTCCTGTTAACGAAATTGACTTTATTATACCAGACAATTTTGAATTTCATGACAGGAATAAATTAAGAGTGGCGATGGTGAGATATCTTGAACCAATAAATGCAAGTGGGGGAGGAGTGAATGGAGAATGTAAATTATCATCGACTCGTTTGGCGCCATTCACTAGTCCATGGAAGCCCGTAGCTCGTATGCTCAAGGATTATTCTATTTACGAGGGTTATCAGGACTATATAGAGGATGAAGCAGTAAGACGAGCCATAAGATTTTATCCTCCATGAGCAAAACATGATAATGTCTAGCCAAAGACATTAAAGAAAGGCGCTCATTGGGAGGCAACCCAATTGTTCCTTTTAGTTGGTTGTTCAATTTCGTGTAGTAGTTTAGAAGTGTTCTCCTGGAATTCGACTGATTTTTGGTTTCAGTTTTCGTTTTTGCTGATTTATAGGTGCCCTTCGGTCATGACGTGCCCGTGTGGTGATGTGCATGACGCTCACGATCAGGAAATTCTGAAACTTCTGGGAGCTCTCCTGCCCTCATGACGTGCCCGCGTGGTGATGTGCATGACGCTCACGATCAGGAGATTCTGAAACTTCTGGGAGCTCTCTTTCCCTCATGACGTGCCCGCGTCACGTTCGCGGGAAGGGTAGGGATTCAAAAAAATATAAAAAAATAAAAAAAAAATAATGAAAATAAAAACAAAAATAAAAATTTCTTATCACCATAGCTTTAGTTTCAAAAAAAAAAAAAAAATCTTCATCGCAGCGTTGGTTTCCAATGTTAAAAAAAAAAAAAAAAAAAAAAAAAAAAACCAAATTCCTTTCTTTTTCTTTCTTCTTTTTCCCTTCTTTCTTCTTTCTTTTTTCTTTCTTTCTTTCTCTCTTTCTTCTTCTTTTTCTTTTCTTTCTTTTTTCTCCCCTGTTTCTTCTTCCTCCCTGTCGACCGAAGCTTCTCACCTTGCGCGCCGCTGATCTCCCCTTGTGCGCCGCGCCCCACCTCCGACCACGCCACACGCAGCTCCTCCACTCGCCAGCAGCCACCTCTGCAGCAGCCCCAACTCCACCTGGCGCGACCCTCTCTCTCTCTCTCATCTGCAGCCGCACGCAGCTGCCCACAAGCCCGCAGCCTCCACGCCGCGCGCCAACAGCTCCTTTCCCCCCTGGCGTCCTCCACAGCTCCTCGGTCCGCCTCCAACCTCGCCGCTCCACCCAGCTCATCCGCCTCCAGCAGCACCAGAGGCAGCTCCAACCTCGCAGCTCTCCCTTCAGCTGCGACCACTTCGCACGCCGCCGCGCCTCTTCCCAGCAGCCGCCGTAGCTTCCATCATCTCCACCGCCGCCACCGCGCAACGCACATCTCCACCATCAGCTCGACCTCACTCCAGCGCCGCCACCACCTATCCGCCACCCTTCCTCACGCGACGCAGGCTGCCAGACGCCGCTGCTCGCTCTCGCCGCTCGCTGCTGCGCCGCCGACGCGAGCGCCGCCCCTCTGCTCTCTCTCCACTTGGCGAACAAGCTGCACTTCAGCTCACCTCCACCAGCTTGGCGCCCCTCTCCGCTGAGCTGCGCGCCGCCGCCTGCTCAAGCTCCCCAACCACCACCACAGCAGCCCCGCGCGCCGCTGCCTGTAGCCCAGCCGCGAGCCGCGAGCCGGGCTTCCTCCCCCCTGCAGCTCGTCGACGAAGTCCACCAGCCCACCACCAGCTCGTGAGCTCTCATCTCCGCCAGCTCCACCCCAACTCGTTACCACCTGTCAATTGTTGGCAGGTGGAGGTATTGCGATTCCTGCCTCAATTTGTCTTATTCTGAACTCTAAATTGCGAAATTTTGCACCTTTGCTTGGGCTTCTTGTTGGAAAACAGCGGGCAGTAATTTTGGGCATTTTCTGGTCTAATTTGGGTAGAGTTGAGTTAAACTGCTGCGATATTTGGGGGTACTGCTGCTTTAATTTCTCCCTATGCACTCACCAGTGGTACTGGTGATGGTAGTTGTTTAATATCTGATAATCCTGTGTTCTGGATTGCCTAATTAAGCGAGTTGTGCCTATTGGGCGTTTTTGGTTGAGTCGTTCCAGTCCACCCTGTGTTTGAGTTTCTTTATAGCTAATAGCATGGGTGATTTAGGCATATTCTGGGGGTGCTTTTTGGACAGAATTGGGTTTAATTACTGCCATAGTGGAGGTATTTTCTGTTATTTATTGAATTATTGGCCGCTTGATTATTTTTCCCTGTGACTCACCAGTGGTACTGGTCGATTAATTTTACAGTTTAAGTTCTTGCGGTTGAGTTGCTGCCATTGAATTTAATTCTTCCCTGTCTGTGCACCAGTGGTACTGGTTGCAGTGTTGCTTTCCATTTCTTAATCCTCTGTACTGGCCTGCCTATTTGATTCTTGGGTTTTGGTGCCTGAACTGTTCTCGAATTCTAACCATTGGTTGTTGCCATTGCCTGTTGCTTGGCCCAATTGCTACGTTTTGATCGTTTGAGTGTGCAATTTCTTGTCCAATTGGAGCCATTTGGACAGATTTTGGGTGGGCAAGTTTTGCCGCTCTTTGTTGATTTTTAGGAGGCATTTCTGACCGTATTCTATGTATTCAAATTGGTTGAATTCACTGCTTTGTTAATTTTATTTTTGGTATCACTTGGGTTCTACTTTGCTGATTTCTGTCTTGCGTCCCTTGAAGTGCCTTTGGTTGGGTATTTTCTGCATTTGTTTGTTGAATTGGAAGGCTACTGTGCCACTTCCATTGCTTATTGCTGTTGGTGGCGTCTAATTGACTTGCTGGGAGTATTTTACCTATTGATTTCAATTGCTAAATCTTTAGAGCATTTGTTGCGATGTTGGACTGCCTGCATTTGACCCAATTGGGGCCACCCGTGAGTATTGATTGAAATTGC